TCTGCTCCTCCCAAAACATTGCCTCTCATCACTAGGCAGAAAAACCCTGTATGGACATCTACAACAGCAGCACTACCTGTGAGACAAACATAAAAGTAACTACCTTTGCTCAGGGTTGAAGGGGATATACAATATCTGCCAGATCATGCATGGAGCCACACAGTGTGAAAAGGAAACAGACTGAGTGTGCTGCATGACAAGGAGAAAAGTTTTATTATTCTATTAACTTAAACTAAAGGTCATATAGATGACCTTGACTTTGGCATGTATCCAATTTTGAATGTACCATTAGTATTATTTAAAAACAAAAACTCATATTAATAGGGTGCTCCTAGTATCACTTTCTTAATGTTTTACAATAAATATACTGACACAACATATTTTCACTTGTGAAAAGGGCTCTTGGAACAACATTTACATCTCTCTGCTAGAACTAGTGCAATGGCCCATTATTACTCCCTTTGGTCCTCCCAAAAGGTGGGTGAGACAGCTTCCAGCAGGTTTGAAGCCTATTGCTGAAAAAGGAAATGTAGACCTGACGGAGAGTGACCTCTGGGATAATGCTCTTCAACCAGTTACTCTCCAGATTGCTTAACAGACTGAGAGTATTTATGGTCCAAGTGTGGAGATTAAAGCTGCAGCTCAGTACAGCCCTCAGACCTGTCCCATGTAGCCACATCAGGAGTGGCTCCTTTCAGGAACTGGTTACAGGATCTGTGCCTGTGGTTTGACCCCAAAGCCATCAGCCCACCTGGTCTAAGACCTGTAAACACCTCCAGGCAGGATCTTCCAAGCCAGAAGCATCTAGCAATTTTCACTGCAGGTGATTTGAGAATTAGGATACATTCTCTGTATGTAGAGTGTGTTCTCAGTTCCCATGCATGTTCTGAACAGCAAAACCAAATGCTAATTAATCAAGGCTTATGTCTCAGCCATCTAGTGGGAGGTGTCCCTGCCCTTGGCAGCAGGTTGGAACTAGATGATCTTTAAGGTCACTTCATATCCAAACCCAATTTTGAAGTGAAGTAAGGTCACCTCATACACAATTTTTTGATTCTATGATCTATCCCTTTATTTAGCCAGCTTCTTCTGGTTCTCTCCATTTCTGCCTACCAACACTTTCCTCTGCATTTCTGCACCTAGAATTCTTCTCACTGGCTCCCCTGCAGAGTATGTTAGATAGCTATTTGCAGCTGCAAGTGACTGCAGCCAGAATCCTGCTGCAGAGAATTGGCAAAGATGAGGCCTTCACATGATGCCTAAAATGTGGACTCTGTTGCCCAAGCCACCATTACAAGTCACTTCAAGTCCTTACACCAGGGCTCACTCCCTCACTCTTACCAGCTCAATTCACAAGGACTGCCTCTCCAGCCTGTTCCTCAGATTCTTCTCCTAACTAGAATCCAGTAACTTCCTGTAGCACTTCATTCGTACCTGAAAGGGCAACAGTTTGAAATACACTGGTGAAAATAAGATCCTAAGAAAATGTGAATTCATTGTCAAGGAATAAATTATCTGTTTGTGAAGCAAAGGCACAGAGCATTTGTTCGTTATGGCAGAAGAGGAGGAGATGAAATCCCTTATGGCAGATCTTATGGCATATAGGTTGTGCCTTATTTTCTTTCCTCACTGCTATGAGAGGGTACAAAATAAAATCATGGAATACACAGAGCAACAGTCAGCCCTCTCGGTACAGGGTTGTCCTTCTTTAGAAGAGGAGGGCTTGGGATTTTATGTTTGCATTTGACAAGGATTTATTTAGTGCTTTTATTTTAAAAAGTATTTTAACTATCTGTCTTTCCATCATCTTTAGTACTATGATTTACCCTCATAAACCACATGGATCAATAATTTGCTCTGGTACCCTCTGGTTTTTGTGTGCCTCAGACCGCACTACAGAAGGAAAGTATTAATTGAATGTAAGGGTAATGATCCCAAAACACTCATTTGAGAAACCCTTTTTCATCTTTGGAGTGCTATTTTGTCACCTAAGCTATAAAGTCAAGCTCAAGTATCCTGCAGCCTTTGGTTCATGGGATTTAGCATGAGGTCACTGCTGCCTAACATGGTGGCAAGAAATGCAATCCCTTCAAGAGACTCTGAAGTAAGCAAGAAAAATGAATGCACTAGGCATTTCATAAACTGGTTTCATGCCTTACTCTTGGGCAGTGGTAAAATCCCACACTAACAGATTAAATAACATATCAACAGACTTCAGACTTGATGCCCTAAACAAAAGGCCATTCTGCTTTACTCTGTAGTGTGGATCCTTCAGCCAATGCCTCCCTCCAGTTCCGTGTTCCTTCCCAGGCTCAGCATTCATCAGCAGGTCAGTATCACATCTCAGGAAAGCAAGGACTGCTAGGATCAAGCACACTGTCCATCCTGCCATAGTTGAGAGTTATCACTTCATAAATATCTGAAGTAGACTGAACTACATTCTTGATCCACAGACAAAGGAACTGACACTGGCATTCCTGCAATGGCATAACCTTGCCCTATAGCTATGTCTGCAGGATTCCCACCACCTAGACAAACTCCAGCAGTGCCAGCACACTTCCCAGGTCACAGGAGAGATGTGTATTCAGCAGAAGAAAGAAATCCTGCACAAGCTGGTTGGCCACCACTCCCCTGAAGGGACACAGGGCAGGCACGGACTGCCCTTCCTCAAGGTCACACCTCACAGAAGAAAAGGTGGCCTGGCGGGAATACAAGAGAGGGAAATACGGCTCCTGCCCTCTGCCTCAAGAGGAGGGGCCAAAAGCAGCCTATGAGTCACATACCAAAGGGGTTGAAGAGGAGGAAGAGCAAAAGTGATCACTAAAGCTTTTTCAAAACAGGGTCCACAGAGAAATGAACTAAGTAAGGCCAAAAGCAGCAGTCGTGCAGCAAGGCAGAACATGCTGCTTTCATGAGGAGTGCCCCCAGAGCCATCTCCCACCTAGCCAAAATCTTTGGGCAACGTATGATCGTAATTGTGAATATATATTGAACTAAATACACTGGGTTTGGGGCATCACCTCTGGTTCCTTCATTCCTCTGGACTTGAGGTATGTGATGTACAGGGAAGTCTTTGATCCTCTTCTTTAAATCATCTGCATGCTGGATGAAGGGTAAGCAGTTGGGTCCAGCATATTGAAAACATTTTAGAAGTTGGGAGGACAGAGGGAGTAAATAAGAAAAAAAAGAACACAACTAGCAGCCAGCAGCTACTTGCACACAAAAATGTAATTTCTTTTTATTTCCTGGGAAGTTCTGCTCCTGTGCTTAAGACCCAGACAGACAGGAAAAGCCCTTGCCAGGACATCAGTTTTCCTCATTTGTGGGAACAGAAAAAGGAGGCTGCTGTGCAACCTTTACCTACAGTCTTGCTGTCAGTTGAAGGACCCAACAGCTTATTCAGGGTCTTTGTTATAAATCTATTTTGGTTGGGAGTTGTGCAGCTGTTAGTGCCATGATGGAAGCATACTTTAAGGCAGAAGTTATTTTGTGCAGTCATGCCTTCTGTAACTTTGGACAAAGCATTAATATTGTCTAGAGGACCTTGGGGCAGGAAGGAAGTCATGCCTCCTGAATTCTCCACATGCTACCAAGAGGATAGTGAAAGCATCTGAAGGGCAGGAGTCACTGTCATAACTCAGAGACACCCCCCCCCCCTCCCCCCCCCCACCACTAAGCCAAAAGAAACAGAGGCATTTGTTACCACTTTCCTGATTTGGAAGTACAAACAGTGAAAGTTACCAGGCTCTTAAAAAAAAAAAAAAAAAAAAAAGCAAGTGTGCTCTGTTTCCAAAGTTTCCTCCAGACTGATTCTCCTGGCAAACAGAAAAGATCCCCAAGCCAAGTAACTCTACTCAGCCTCATCCTGCGTGTTGCATGCTCAAAGGATTAAGTTATGGTTTACTGCAGCCATACCCGGAGCTCGCCTAAAACTTCACACCCTTCATGGGTAGCATAAACTCTTTGCATATGCCTTTAACTCACAATTTTCTCATAAGCTTGCTCAGCTATTTCCTGACACCTCCCACGGGTCGTTTGGTGGTTTTTTTCCATGCAGTTCATCTTTGAAACCTGAAGTGTCTCAGAAAATTCACACTGAGTAATTGGTTGTCAGTGGACAGTCACCACTTAATGCTCCGGAGGCAAATTCCATGCATGATCACAGTTTCAGTGCCCCTTATCAGAGCAAGGGTGGGGCCTCAACACTGTTATATTTATGCTTGTTACCCAAGGCAACAAGCAGGTTTAAAAAACAAATCAAAATGACCTTTGAAAGTGTTGACAGCACGACTGGTCATTTTAAAGCTAGATGAATGATCTTGAGTGTAGAGATTGACCCTTTATTTTATGTTTGCATAATCCATATGGTGGGTCTGGCTCTAGACAGTGTCCCAACAAGAAGAGCAAGAAAAATATTTTTTAGAAGTCTGAGTTATTCAAACTCATAAAGCATTATAATTTCAAACCAAAATCGTGATTCAGTTGTGCTTTATTTACCAGCTCCATTTCTCTCAAAGCTTATTAGTGAAGTCGACAAAGTAACTGATTTTACTCTGGATGAGGTCTGTTTGTCCTTTAGATTCCCCAGCACAGAGCTGCAACATAGCCTGCAGATATGCAGATGAAGGACCTGCTGAAATAAGTATTCCAGAGCTATTGAACAGCTCTGGGTATCAGCCTCCCCCATAAATGTATAGGGAGCAGTAAAGCTGTGCAGCATGCATCAGTTTATACCTGCCAAAATTCCTTAGACCTTAATAGGGATAAAAAAAAGCCATGCCATTAATTAAAAACATATATTGCTGACAGTGGCAAAGTTATTTAATGATATTTTGGAGAGAATCAGAGCTTTTTCCTGAGGAAAGTCTTGTGCATCATCAGGAGAGGCATGCAGGGAAACCCTGTGTGGAACAAAAGTGTTTGAATTGGCAGGACAGTAAGTAAATGGAAAGACATTTTCCTCCTTTGTTCATCTCTATTTCATTGACCTTTTATTTCAGAGGGTGGAAAAAAAGCACTTGGGTCTGTGAAGAAATGTTTGGAACAAGGAAATCCTGCAAGTGAAAAGAAGTCCTACAACTGGGAAAGACAAAAAAACAGCCAGAGTAATCACAATACTGGATTTCCTATGGAGATAACCATCATCAATGCACAAAGCTCCTGTGTTCCTTCAATTAACATACTGTAGGTGGAAGCAAAAAACACTGGATAATGGTAAGTTTCACTTTCTACAAAGTCAAAAGCTGTTTTAATAGAAGCTTAAGTGCCTTTCTTTTCAGTTCAGCAAGAAAGAGAGTATTTTCTCAGAGGCTGACTGAACACCCACGTTGTTCAGAAGCCAGGCAGAGCGCTCCCTCTTAAGCTTACTTGCAATTACGTGTGGAGTCAAAGCGAGCAAGAGCTGGTATCCTGGGTAGGGATAATGCTGCAAGTTTTGGTAGTAAATGCACTTTCACTGAACATATTGCCAAGAAAAATTTTCTCTGGCTATGAAGGGGATAGTTTGTCTCTAGTAAATGATGTCTCAGGGGATTGGTACAGCCTATTGGGGCACAGTACATGAGCACAAAGACATGAGCAACTTAGTCCATCTTCCCACTAGAGATGAACTTTTGAAGATCACACAGTCATGTCTTACATTTAAGGGAAAATTCTAGATGTCAACAGGAAAAAATTACTATCTCCTATACACAGTCTAAGACACTGCAGGAGTCATTGTACCTCACTACTCCAAAACCTTCACAAGTTCCCAAATTTATGCTCCCCATTTGCTGGTCCATAGCAGCCAAATTTCCCTGCAGAGGGCAACACCACAGGGCACAAACAGAAAAGGAGATTAAGAATGCTGCTGACCTGCACATTTAATGAAGTATTTCATCTTTTTGTCAGCCTAAGACACAAACATACAGGCATGTCTATGCATTACCACACACCTACTCTTCAGTAGCTGAAGTCTAGATGACCCTTGAAGCAAGAATCACGTCATGCAGAACAAAGCCCAAACTCCATGCCATAATAAACATTTTATCAGTAATAAGACCATATTGGAGTTGAACTCCAATCTTAACTTTGATCCTTAGCTTTCACACCCAAAGAACACTCATAGAACCTAGATTCTTACACGGGTGATAGAAAAGATAAGGAAGCATATTTGTGATGTAATTAAATAAATCATGCTGATCTCCCAGTAATGAACCCATTTCTAATTATCCTGGAGTCATCTTATCTCACATGTGCTACTTGCACACTCATTTAAGGTGCTGCCAGAGTGCCTTGCCAGTAGGACATGGCTGCCAATAGAAATTTCACAGCCCAAATCTGAAGCCAGGCTTGCATACCTGCCCCAGTCTATAGCACTATTAATTCTTGAAAAAAACTATCTTAAAAGAAAACCCCAGAGCAATTTTGAAAGGGGTCTGGGTGAAAGAAATCAAATAAGAGCTTGGAATTGATGATTCCAAAAGAAATATAAAATACTTTTTTCCACTTGTTACTGTTTTAAAAAATGAAATGCTTTCCAACTTTCAACATCAAACAGCCCAAAGGGTTGGGTTTGATAAAGGATAGAAAGATTCTCAAAGTTTTTCTTGAAATCCCCTAAGATCCCAAATGCATCTCTTCATATTTTTCAGTGAATCTTTTAACATATGTTCTTTTCCAGAAGCCATACTTGTTTAGGGTTTACTCCTTGCCCCTTACATTTATTCTCCTCACCTTTTGCTGTTCCCACTATAAATGAAAGTCATGGTTCTTTATACCCCTTTTAAAGTAGATAAGTGCATAAATAACCACCAAAAATGTGTCCTGCATAAGTATGTCAGTTATACAATTAAACATTTTCTCCTTCTCGTGATATGTTTTATTGAGGTATAAATCAGGACTACGAGGCAATTTAGCACAGACAGGAATTTTATGGAGGGGGTGTGCAGATTCCCCTGGGCTCGTCTGGAAAATGAGAAACATACTCATAGATGATACAGCTTGCTGGGTACAAGATCCACAGGAGCTAGAGAGCACTCCGTCTAGACTGAGATTTAACTCTCTCATTTAAATCAAGTGAAATAGGACTGTGCTGGATGCAATTGCATTAAAATCTTGCTGTGGTGGATTAAGGAGCTTTCTGCAAAGCCAAGTCACACTGAAGAAATCGTGTGGGCAGAATGAATTTGTGCCAAATCAGCAGGAGCTGAAAGGTAGCAATAGTCTCCCTGTGTTTAACAAGGCTTTAGCTGTGCTTACTTTCTACCACTAAGCAGAAACTTTCCCTTCTCTCCTGCTACTAAGACAGGTAGACAAATGCTTGGGGGAAACTTTGCTTTCTTACAGTCATGAGTCTCAGTCTCTGCCTTATTTCTCTCTAGGAAGGTGTAAATTGAGGTCAAATTAAGAACTTTGGCTTGCTTGCATCTGGAATGTGCCTGGAAAACCAAGATTCAAAACCACCTCCCTGTATTTTGGCCAAAAGGCAAAGTCCCATGATGGAAGGGAAGTCTCTGCCTTGCAGTGCTGATTGTCCCATTGCCACTGATGGAGGATGGAGTGATCCTGTTCCTCTCTCAGCTGGGCTATGAGATGTATACAATCACATTTGTCTCTGTGTCCATCCATCCATTCAGACATCTCCAGCCAGGCACGTACCCAAGGATCTGGGGCATTAGCATCCACCTCCCCTGACAAAGAAAACTACCCTTGGTTGTTCTCTCCACAGTCAACAGAATCTGGTGTTAGACTTAATAGGCCCTGGGGACACCTCACTCTCAGCATCTCAGCTAGGCAGGATATAGTTCAGCCTTCCTGCCCAGAGAAATATAACTTGTACCTAACACTAGCAAATCCAAAAACAGCCAAATAAGCTCTGTCCACATGCCTTAATGCCTGCACAATAATAGGACAAGGGCAACATTTTCCTCTCTGAGCACAACCCAGCCCACACCTGAATTCAGGTGTAAATTATGAATAAATTATAATGTCCTCTTAGCTGCTTATTTGGAAGCAAATGGCAGAAGCAAGACACAACAGTGAGTTACAAGCTGAAACAAGTTGACGGGCTCAGATGACCCCCAGGCAAGTTATATTTGAATCAGGTACTTCCCTCTTGATATACAGCACCTGAAAGCACACAGTATTCATTTCTTATCCTTTTGAGCCTTCCACTGTCCAGCACTGTCAGCTCATTATAAATTCTCCAGAGAACAAGACTATGTTCTCCCCACCAGCTCCCAGATTTTGCAAGAATCCCAGCATTCAACTAAATGTTTTAGCAAAAAATATGTATTTTTTTCTCAGCCCTCGGTGCTTTATCTGCTTCTGCAGTTCAGACCACAAAACCCATCCACCTGGTTTGTTCAGGCAGCAACAACAGGCCCTCCCTGAGGACGTTCTCTCCCAGCATGCCATCATGGATTTTCTCTGCACATTCCCTGGTGTCTTGCTCTACAGTAAACTGAGCTGCTCTGTGACACTTGTTCAGCAGCTCATCCCCAGCCCCTGACCTTCAGCACTTCATCCTTGGCTTCCAGCTGAACATGCACACCCTGGCTAATTGTTAGGGTTTCCAAACAACAGCTAAACACAGGCCTGGCATCAGCAGCAAGCTCTGAATCAGGCTTCAGTAATATTGTCTGACCAGAGGCTAGCACTGGGAGAGGCCCCTTGCCAACGGGGAAGGGAAACTGGGATTAATACTTGTACTAAGAACCACAGAGAAAGAGTGGGAGGGCTAGGAGAACTCCACGTAAAGAGGGTGAGGGTTAACAAGAGAGCACAGTACCTTTCAACCCTCTGTTTTGTTTTGTACTTTAAGGCGCAATAAAACATATTTATACCCAATTCCTCAGTTTACAAGGAAAGCAGGTTACTTTAAAGGTTTTAAAACTGGCCTCAGCTGAGCAGCAGTTCTCTCAGACTGGATTTTGGTGATTACATTTCACTCCATGAATAATACTTCCATTCATTTTTTCCATCTACAACCTCTACATCTAGATGACAGAGATGGTTTGTTTTCATCTCCATTAAAACACAGAAAGATAAAGGCCTGAAGTAGCAACTACCTAAAATACAGGCAATTACAGAGATGTGGTGCATAGAGCTTTAGGTCATTAAAAATCACCATGGAGAAATTTGGGTATATTGCTGAGTGAGGCAGCAAGAAAAACTGAATACTGTACAATGGATTTTGAGGAAAAGTACCAATTGCTTTGATTATATATCTATAAGGGGAAAAAAGGAGATTCAGACTAAATTAGCAGAGGAGGCAGAAAATATATAAGCATGTAATATAGATAGAGAGTTTTGTATGCTTTCCATTTGTTTCCCATCTGCTGTGCAAGTAGTTAGTTCATCAACCTACATTGGCCACAGTTTATCTAAAGGAAGCCTGGCCTTGGGAGCAGCTCCTGCATTTACTATTCTTTAATGCAGAAGTGAGACCTCAGGGACAACTCATAAGCAGAAAGTCCATCCCCTGATAATCCTCATACAAAAGAGACATGCTGGCAGACAAAGCATAGTATGGAAAAAAGCCTGAGCCTGCTCTGTGTTACTCCTCTGGCCAAACCAGTAAGTCCTAGGCTGCAGCCAGGTACAAGTTTAAAGCCAGCTTAGTCCTCCTTCCTTTTCCAAGTGTGCCAAAGTGCAAGTGAGGCATATCTCATGCTCTAGCCAACTGGAGAGTAACGAGAGGCAGAGATACAGAGACTTAGCTGAAATTTAGATTATGGATTAATGCATCCTGGACCAACTGGAGAAAGTATCCCTGAGTCAACAAGGATGAGTGCAGAAGGAAGAGCACAGGGGACTAGATGACAAGATTATCAGCTGTTGAGCAACCTCGTATTTAAGAGCTGGGCTCTTCCAGTGTACAGTTTTTTAATATTACCTTGGCCAGTTAAAGACAGTTAAATACTTGTTATGTTTCGCTGTTGTGTGGGACTACCATAGTGTGTATCTGGATCACCAGGATTCACCTAAGAAGCAGCAGAAGTAAACATGCATGGTACCAATATAAAGCCTTTCTTTGAATGGCCGTTTTATATAAACCCCTATCACATGGTCACCATTGCTATTCCACTGAGAGGGGGGATCCAGAGCAGCTAACTAAATAGAGATAGCTATAAAAGGGCTGGAATAAGTCAGTGCAAACACTAAATGCTTGGAACCAGTGCTTTGATGCTCAGAAGCAGTCAGACAACAGGGAGAAGTCAGAGAGAACTCCC